TCAAAACCACACAGAATTAAACATGGAAAATATTGACTTTCCATAACCCACGCACAATTCAACAAAAATATATATAATTGTTCTTCGTTATAAAAACGACACAAAATTGGACATGGAAAATATTCACCTTCCATAAACCGCGCACAACGTAGATCAAATTTTATAAGGAATGTATACATATACAATTGCCTCGTTCTCTCTAAAACCACACATAATTGAACATGGAAAACATATATAGTGACCGACTTTGTAACACCGTGGGCTATTGAAAAAATAGAGGCAGATGCGCGGCCAGGATGAAACATAATAATAAAATAGACGTTCTCTGACCAAAAATATATATTTATTACAAGCTTTCGGCTACCAATCTGTAGCCTTCAACGGGTATGAGTGTATGAAATATGAAACTATAGTCTATTATTGTATATACAGAAAGATTTGCATAATTGCGCATGAAATATGAGTGTGTATTGTCAACTATGACTGCTTTTTTATAAGAACAGTATATTGTCCGGGAAGTGAACATGAATTGTTGTCAGCATCAGTTGTTAAGGCTGTATGCCATGACTCTAGAGTTTTTCGGGTCCTAAAATTTCCCTTATCGATAACTTCCGCGTTTTCAAAGTCAATCCTGTGGTCATAAGTCCATGCATGTTTTGCTACATTAGATCCAGTCTTGTGATTCTTTACATTTCTTACGTGTTCCGATTTTCTTGTCTTCAGCGACCTTCCGGTTTCTCCTATATAACTCCATGGACAACTTTGACACGGTATACGATAAACCACGTTTGTCTGATTTTCGGATGAAGGTTGGTGTTTTGCGGATGGAAATTCTTGCTGGAGGGTTTTCATTGGCTTGTTGCAAACTTTTACGTCGTGCTTTTGTAGTAGCCTTTTTGTAGTAGCCTTGTAAGGCTTGGTTCAATCGAACGACGCGGAGAATAGAGACCTTCTACCTCTTAAACCCTTACCATGCATGGCCACTTGTACGGATCGTAACCACTGGTCGTAACGACTCGTCAAATCGGCCCAATCGAACGACTCGACCTCTTAATACTAGAGCTGCATGTGCGCCGGAGTACCGGAACCGGAACTCCGGCATATTTTGCCGTAGCCGGAAAACTCTGGCCGACAAAATTATGAAAAATTATTTCATATTTCAATGAACGTTTGGTAACGGAAACATTAAGTTGAATGATTTGAAGTTACTATGAAGTTTTGATTACTTGCTCCGATCCGATTCGTGGCTTCGAAAATTCTGCAAGCGCATTGCTATCGCTTTTGATACAAAAATCCGCTGACCATGTGGTAGTACTTTCTACAAAAACATTGTTTAAACAATCACCGAAGCACGTATATTTGATTAGTTAAAGACAAAGCTGAAAAAGGAATAAAATAAATTCTGAAATTACACTAAAATATTTTCCCCTGCTTCTACTTTTAAATATGAAATTTCCTTAAAATTTTCTTGCCGGAGCTATGGAGCTCACAGCTCTACTTAATACCCCAACTATTGCCACTTGTACTGTCGGCGAATTTTACAACTTGTACAACCCAAATCATATCAATGCGACAGTATTGGACAACCCCCGCAAAAAAATAATGGACAAAATCACCTCGACAAAATTTGCACCAGTCAGTGTAAATCCTGGCCTTGCCCAAGCAACCAGGATGTGCAGAGAATTTAACTGTGAGAGTCACACAACTGGAGATTCAAGAAAGATTGTTCTTACCCCTGAAGGCAAAGGGTAATGTGATAGAGTACCCACAAATCACCCGAGGTGTGAATCACCCGAGGTGTGAATTATATTATCAACAGATCTTTGTGTATCACTACTTCCAGTGGCAAAGCCAGGGGGGGGGGCGACTGTCCCCCCCCCAATCGCAGCAAAAACCAATCTCTCAAAAAGGCTAAATCCATAAAGAAATGGGAGGGGGAGGGTGCATGTTGATCGAGGCATATGTTACATGTTACATGGTCAAAGGCTCAAAGCTGAAACTGGCTAAGTATGTCTCGATTTACTTGAGGAACTTGATTTGTAAAATCTCGTTAAAGCAATTGTAGATATGGTTTCAAGAAGAATGGATTTAGTTTAGATTTTTAAGTAATAAATACATGTATGCATTATCATAGCATGAAATTTCTTCCCATATTTATTCAATCTGTATCTAATGATACTAATGACACTAATGATAGTAATGACTAATGTACTATTTTATTTCTTAGTATTTTTTCATCTTTCAATTTGTTGTAAATAGTTTCTGCTTGTATATAATTTCTTCTTTGGTCTTTTATCACTAGAATACTAAAACTAGGGGCCTTTACTATAAAAGTCCAACAGGATTTCCAAAGGTCCCTATAGCCCATTATACTACTGTAATTATTTTTTTTACTACTCGTAAATATTTTGTGGGCAAAAAGTTAATAATAATAATAAAAAAGCAATGCAATTTTGAGAATGCGGATTTCAATGGTGTCTCATAGAACCTAGAATTATTTAAATGCAACATTTCTGATGAGGAGGAGGGAAATAAGGAGGGAAATAAGGTGATACCGACCCCTCCTCCTGTTTTTCAAGGTGACTTTTCCAGTTTATTTAATTCCGAGGAGAAATGTCTGGGCAAATGTCTGGGCATGTCTTCAATGTACGTTATAATATATTTCGGAATTCTGCAATATTTCACCCCAAAAATGCTTGAAATCGCATTTCAGGGACTCTTCAATCTCGTTCCCCGA